CCCCACCCAGGCAATAGTGCATAGGACCTCCAGCATGTCCAGTCTCAACTCCCAGGAGTCGTCGAGCGACATCTGCAAGCTGACAGACAAGCAGCAGGAGGAGTATCGCGACGCCTACAGGGAATACATTGCGCAGATGGGCCAGCTGGAGGGGCGGGAGCCCACGCCTCCGGACTCCCAGGACAGGGCAGGCGAGGCGGATCGGGAGGCCCATGAACCCGCCGACGTCAGCGGCCCATCGCTCGAACCCATCGCCGAGGAGGAGGAGAAACCACAGTCCCACACGACCGGGCCGTCCCCGGAGCTCAACAGCGAGGAGGAGGAGTCTGGGACAGAGTACACGGACCGCACTCCGCTCCTCAAGGAGGAGAAGAGGGTGCGCGTCAAAGTGCCGGCAGCTGCCCGTCTGTCCTCCGCCGACCTCGAGAAGGAGTCCTCCGACTCGGGGCTGAGGTCCAGCGACAGCTCGCCGGAACACTCACCTCGGGACGAGAAAACGGGCTCCCCCACGCTCATCGAACTGGAGCGGGAGAGCCACCTGGGGAGGAGTCCCACAAAGCGGAGCCCGCAGGAGGAGGCCACCCGCATGTCACTCGGCTGGGACACGCCCTCCGAGAGGAGCTGGTTCGCCAGGCGTGATTCCGCGATGAGCCGGGCCTTCAGCGACACCACGCTCAACAACAACAACAACAGCGGAGTCCCCTCCCGCCGCCTCGTCGCCACCCCCGGCTCTGGGGTCGTCCCATCGACGCGCAAGAAGAAGAGGCTGTACTTGGGCCTCGGAGCCACCGCTGTGTCTGCTGACAGTGTGGCCTTTGGGGACGAGCAGGAGAGCATCCTGTGACAAGCCAGTCCCCAAACAGTGCCCTTCATAACCGTGCCCTAGTAGGTCGATTTTTTTCAACATGTGGACAGCAAAAAATGTAAGATTAATAGGTTCCAGTCCCCAAAAATCAAACAGAGACACCAATTTCATCTCTAATGTACAAAATTGAGGTAACAAAAAGAATTGCAGCAAGGGGAGACAGTCTTAGAGGCTGGAAAAAATATGCTTGATCGGGATTAGAGTAGGTCCCATGTTAAGTCTTAAGTTTTGTACTGAAGCTTGTGGGATTATAGAAAAAATGGAGGTCCAGTATGAATGTAACCACAGTAGAGGCACATAAAGTTGCCTGTGTGTTTAGCATGTTGTGCACCAGCTCACCAGCTCCGAAGGCTGCAGGACAGGCTGGTCGAAGGCTAGCAGGTGACATCACTGCCGCCAGCATCAGATACACCAGCCTAAAGCGCGGCTCACAGCAGGCGCCATCCAAACGCTGGGGGGCTACAGCGCGGCAACAATCCCAACTATTTCGGTCTTTACCGGCCCTGCTGTTTATTACTTTTTATATCGGTTTAGAAACTTGGATGTGCTCGACGGATCACGGACACTGGCGAACGAAATAAAACCATTAATCTGTTTCTCGTTGTGTCGCCACAAATGTCGTGATGCCTTTAAAAAAACATTGTGTGTGTTTGCTTAAGTAAAACGAAAAAAACAAAAACAAAAACGTTCCTATGCGCTTGGAAAGGACGCAGAGCGTCATCTGCGTGAAATCTTTCCGTAAATCCGTAAATTCGAAATGGCGTAAATCACTGGGGCTTTAGTTGTTTAGAAGAAAACCCACAAAAAAATCTTCATAAAGCAAATCTCAAGAACCATATGCCCTCCATAATTAATAAAACCTGCTTGTAGAAAAACTATCTCCTCTTTCAAGCAAGTGAATTGGCTTGTGTTCCCACTTTGCAGTTTATCCTGTTTAATCGAATTTAAAAAAACACTGCAGTGGTTATTTCCTGCTCCTGAATAAGAGTTTCAGCAATGTCACAGCCGCTGATGTCCGGTGTGCAACTGGCTACAGAGTTAAACCAAGTTAATGCCCTTATATGGGATAAAATTGATAACGGGTAGCCTCACACCTCTGGGTTGCGGATTCGAGTCCTGCGGACTCCTGCCTTCTCCCCGCGTCACGTGACTTTCCTTTGAGTGCCCCGTAACCCTGACTAAGATAAGTATTTGGAAGGTGGTGGACAAATGATAACGAATGATAGCCCTTTCCAACACGTAAATGTAGTGAATTCTAAAGTGTACATGTGCATGGTCTTGAAATGAATTGAAATGAACCACATGCATCGTCTTACCTGATATGTGCCTGTGATCTTTTGGTCTTACCGCCCCGCAAATGTAGCCTATTACTTTAAATGAAGCACAAATTACCTGAGTGAAGCGGTCTTATTTTGGACATACTACGAGAGAAACTCCGTGCATTGGGAACGCTGTCTATATGGTCGTCAGGAGTCGATCCACATTACAGCACATGGCCTGGATGATTTGTTACCTAAATATGTTTATGTACGAAAATTGTTTCATTACCGTATATTGTAAGATACGGGCAAATGTGTCCCAGTATATATAACCATGTATATATATCCTGGGATCATAATGTCATATATAATCTGTGTGGATGTAGGTGTGATTTAGATTAGCGCAGCCCTTTGAAAAAGAAACAGATTTGATCCCCCCCCCCACAATAAACCACCTTTCATCTCTAGCTGCACTATAAAAATTATTTCGAACTACAGATGCAGATATTTGCGTTAATATTTCTCTATTTGCTCATCACATGGCAAATTCTGGTAGACATTGTGACCAAAACGCATTTTTACCACGTATATAGTACTTGCCCTACATAGATTTTTTAAACCACGTACGCGGACGATTCTTAAAACGGACAGGATGGACAATCCCTGGTTATAACTGTGGCATTTCCCCCCATAAATAACGGTATACGGAGGGTCAAACAACCAGTAGGTGGCGTGCTCTCCATGCAGAAAAAGAAAAAAATACAACGGCTCTGTCAAAGTGCAGTAATTTTACGTTTAAACCACGCCGATACTTAACGTTGTCAACCCAAGAGTCAGAGCCGGATTCCTTTCTTATACGATGCTTTGTTAAAACGGGGTTAGATACACCGCAAAATATACGCACCCTATAAGCGTTATGTAAATACATGTACATTCTGAAATTAACAGTAGGACAAGATGAAGCGTGAAAAATAGTCATATACGCCAGAATAGTTTTGTACTTTAGCATCTGGATGGCTGGAGAAAAAAAACAATTGCTTTGTTTTTTGAAAGAATAAATGAGGTTTATCATCAATTTTTATCTTAATTTTGTCTAAGTGGTACTTTAGTTATAATATGACGGTGCGAGTTTTAATGAATTAATGTTATTGGTTTCAGCAATTACTTCGAAATCAGTGTCTAATTAAGGGGAAGTTTGAAATAAGGGGTGAGGGTCGAAGCTCATCGTGAGGGTTGCAGTTCCATTTAGTGCCGATGGGAGGAGCAGTCTGCTCGTTCATATTCGCTGCTTGGGGCCCTCTTATTAAACTGTGGCATGCTTGTTCTTTGTACTGCATATTTAATTACATGAAATTACTAGTAGCCAGTCGCCGGAATCCGAAATCGAGAGAAAAACCATCAGCCTAAAGCCGACGACTCTGGTTCGCTCCATTTTCTGATCTGAAATGAAGTTTCCAGGGGAAATATATATGTTCGATTAGTCGAAGGAGATGCCTTTTTTGCAATTCCTAATCGAACCATCATTGACTTTTGATTAGTACCAGGCGGGTATAGCAAAGCAGACTCATCCCTTGGCTGTGCACTGGGCTTTTGGTGTCAAGGGCAGAGAAGGACGGCTCATCAGACCCAGCGGCGCCAGGGGAACACCTGTTTAACATAGGTTGAAGTTTCTATACACAGGTGAGGCAGCGGTTTCGCCTATTATGGTTTTAATTCTCCATTGTTGGGAGAATTGCGGAAACGCATTACCGCTATGGGTGAAACACGGCGATCGCCCGTAGTGCTTTTTTTTTTTTGCACTAAACGTCCGCGTCTTTCTCCGCAAAGCCGATTGCGACAAAGCTTTTGTTTCGTTTTCGGCTGATGTGAACGCGCTTTATATAAGAAGCGACGCAACCGCTGCAGAAACGGTCATAAAACGCTGCTAACCGGCGACTAAAATCATCTCCGATATTAATGAATGCCAACGTGGAAAAAGGTAGCCGTTTTGCATGCTGGCCAGCAAACGCTCATCCGATGTAATGACATTTTATGATCACTGAGAATAAGCGTCGTCGTTGATATTGAACCATCGGCCTTGCAAATTATTAGACTGCCGAGAAAAAAACGGCCCCTGTATAAATTTAGCGTGTAATCATGGACATCATACAATTGTGAATAAAAAAAAAACTTTGCTCGAGAATCCAGGCATCGTGAATTTTAATGTTTCAACCATCAAACTGAACAAATGTTACGAGAATGGAGACGTTCAAATAAAGCATTTGATTTATTTTTTTGTATAAAAAGGTACAATTTACAATATTACTTTTATAAAAAGTTTCAGCATAATTAAGTACAGCATTACATGTTATGCAGAAATTTGCAATCTCTGCAACTATACAAGTTAAAACTCCGATTGTAGAGTTTACAAGGTTTCGCTCGCTCGTTTCATTTTTTTAAACCACGTCCAGTCCTTTATGTGCCAAAAAATAACAATTCTGACAAGACAGACTAAACTTTATACAATAACTAACCAAGTCTTCTATGCGCGCTCCACCTTCGCAAAAAAGCAAAGATTTCTCATGGGGAAAGGGACGTCTTGACAATAGTCTTCTTTATTTTTTTTTTCTCTTCTTCCTTTTTTGCTCCCACGGTGGGGAATATACCGATCCTTCCATCTGAAGAAAGGACAAACCATGTCTAGAAGATAAATAACTGTAACTGTCCAAACTCTTAACATATAGATTGTCCTTTTAAAGTCTCTTGGTTCAATTAAAGAAGAAATCCAAACTGAGAACAAAAATAAGAGGAGAGGAAAAGTCAGCTCCCAGGTCCTGCGTTTTTTGTGTCTTAACCAAACACCTGCAAAAGATTGAGAAAGAGAGGCGTGTTTTGAAAATGCAAACAGGGCAGAGATCCGGACAGACTGCATGGCGCCAGGGAGGAAGCCGCAGTTTTAACATTTAACCAAACACTCAAATACTGGGCAAACCCTGAACTCCAGATGTACACACTCGCCCAGCCGAAGAGCACATCCTGGCAACTTCTCTCTTACAATCTGCTATCCGATCGACTTAATTGTAGTTCGGTTGGCGCCTGCTTTCTTCTTGCATCAATTATTTGCAGACGTCAAAGCAAGCGGTCCACGCAAGTACTGTACAAATCCCAACAGTACAAAATGTATTTTACTCCCCCACCACACTGTGCTGAGCGACAACGTATGCTTCTTTTTAAATGCAGAATAGGAAACGCCAGCTGAACTCTACCAATAAATAAATAAGAGCTTTGTTCCAGCGATACCGCCAATATCCATTACTTAGGTTTACATGAATACAGAACTGCAGTTCCTCTTCGAGCCTATCCGTAAGCCACCGATCACTCGCAGTACATGGCTAGATGTCGTTTTCATATAAAAAGGGAAATACTTACCAGTTTAACGATAGAGCGTCTTGCTGTCATCTGTGGTGATTTCTTTTGGAAATTCAGCAGACTGCGAACAAATAATTGGATTTGTAAAAATTTTTGCATCTGCAAATGCTTGGTATAATAGTGTGCATGGATGCATACATTTATAATCTTCGTGATATCCAGAGGAGTAAGAACGACGATGTTATTTGCACTTGAGCTAAGAACCTAGATGCGTTTACGGCATTTCCTTACTATATAATTATCTTTCCCCCCCGGTAATACTACATTTTAACAGGACGATCCCACGCGATTCTCTGTTGGATAAAGCGAGTAACCACAGAAATTCCGACACAATCCAGCCCCATTACCTGTAATGAAAGGATGCTGATGTCTGTGTTGAGGGTTGTCAAGGGAGTCCTGGATGTCGCCTGGCCCGGCCGCTGGTGGTGGAGGCTAGTTATAGCGGAATTCGAGTCAAGCGCGATCTGCAGGTCCAGGATGTAATCGATGACATGCTGCAGGATTTCCATCTTGCTAACGCTCTTGTTCTGGGGGATGCTGGGCACCAGCTCCTTCAGCTTGGAGTAGCAATCGTTCATGTTGTAGAGCAGACTTAACGGATCATCCACGGGGGTCTTGCTCCGGGAGATTCCGAGGCTGTGTTCTGACAAGTTGGCGCCGTTTTTCCTGAAAGATCTCACTGGGCTTATTGCTTTCATTTTTGACACTTCGGGTGACTTCGTTGGCGTTTCGAGTTGCACTCACGGTTGTGCGCTGGTCCTATTCGTACTGTCGGCTGGCAAGTAAACGGACTGATTTTGCAAGCTGTCATTGCCGTTTATATACCCACTGAGCTGGGCATGTCACGCAGATGTTCTCGTGAATTTAATTGGTTGGATGCAGTACGTCAATCAGCGGCAAAGAGGCAGTTCATTGGCTGTTCCCTTCCTACGAATAAATCCCACCCACGTCTTCCGCGTTCTTAACCAGTGAAAGTTCACGCTGGAGCTGGCGCTTTGAGAAAGCAGGGGCTGCGGTCGGTAATTTGGAAAATTAAACATTATCCTGTACATGTTTTCGATAGAACAAATTAATTTATTGTTAGAGACTGTCGTTCTTAATAAGATCACAACATCCATGAATGATGAAAAATTATATTTCTAAAAACAGAAGATTATCTCAACACACTTAGGCCTATAATTTTAAAATATTCACTTTTACATTTGCACATACATTTAAGTCCTGATCACTTTTAAAATATCGTGTCCAACGCACTAAGTGAATAGCGATGCACCCGATTAGAGGAAGCCGTCGTATCTATTATTATTATTAATACTAGAAAACCTTGTTAAATCTGTCTGGATGCCCAATAAATAATTCGAAATGTTATAAAAGGACATTTCTAACTACAGCAGACAACAGATAAGTAAACGGCATAGGCCTTTAATCGCAGCAACTTCGTCACATACTACGCGGGCACTTTGCACATTCCTTCACTCAAAGGGGAGCGCAATTGCATAGCCCATTCTTTCAGGCGTCCTAACATTCTTACACCAACTCGTATATGTACATTTTTATTTGCAAGGCCATTCGGCATGACGGTAGCATTATAGACATTTAGTGTGAAATAAATGTACTGGGTTTTCTATAATACAAATAGGTTATATCCATATTTAGCGGTAAGACTAAAGGTACAGAAATACGTCTGGAAGTATCATGGAAGTGTCAATGCGTAGGCTACAAATTTATACTTACGTTTTATTTAGCACTTTTATTACAAAACTTCCACTTAAATTTGCACTTTATTGTAACGAGTGCAAGGTAACCCCCTACTAATTTGATGTCCCGGGGTCGTTCTTTGGTTATTAAGCCAATAATCCAGTAAATTCAAGCTTCATCTACGCTGGGAAGACCGTGAATATAAGTAAATATAAATATATTTAGACAAACATTTGATTAATTCGTGCGTGCGTCAACACTGCTGCGTATCTAATAGATGATGGTGATAGTGCAATAACTGCAGGTAAATTACAGAACTTCAGACTCATAAAGTGGATAATCGTGCAACATATAAGGTAAAGGATAATTTATTAGTTAAAACGTGTAGCTTTTTATATCAATTACACGCTGCATTCCTCAACTGGTGCAGCGGATTAGTGTTTCTCGAAGTGCGACGTGATGCGACAGAAGCCGATGGTCCCGGGGCTGTAGTTGCTTTTAAGCGCTTCTCCTCCGCGTTTCTTTTTCCTTACGACTGGAATTATTTCCGTAAAACAGCGCATTCTCCTCTAACTGACAAACATCCTATAGCCTACTAACCATAAGGTGCAATGGAATATTACAAAGTGGCAGGCATGGAAAAAGACATCAGAATCCGAAGTCGAAAATGTTTGCCCAAATGCAATTATATTTTTACATTAACGCACATTACATCCTGATATGTGGTGCAATAGAATCACAAATTATATGTCCATAATTTGTTTCTTGGCTGTAGCATAGACTTCATGCGACAAAGTCGTCCCATCTGAGCTGCAGTCAAGATTAGTCAGATTTGTATTTTAAAAAATTGCCGTGTGGACTCTGCGCTTCATACACACACGCCATTTTATTATCCAACACAATGTGCTCGTTTTTAATTTCGACTTCTCCTTTTCTACCATTATAAATCCCTAATTTCCAAAATCGTCACTTGAGCGGTCTGGATTCTTTAAACTGTAGTGCTTTTCTTTACAAATATCTGAGTCACTTTCTCCCCCCGACGTATAATGCAACCGAAACTACGAGGCAGCATTGCAAGTGCCAGAAGTACTTTGTTTCCTTAACGACCCATGTGCATTTATAACGGGACACGTTGAGATGTGGGATTCTCCGAGTGTCGTCCACATCTGGTGCAATCAGATTTTTCCATTTTCCTGCCTTTTCCTTTTTCTCTTTGCGCTCACAGCTGTGTATATTTCGCATGACACCCTGACTGATCCCTGACAGGTGATGAATTGGCACCGAGCAGGCAGCAGAGCCGAGCAGCGCCGCGAGCTCACGCTCTCGCAGACTCTCCGGCGCCGGCCTTGTGACGTCACCCATTCACAGCGGCCCTTCAGCCAGTCCTCGCGGCGCCGCTCAGTCGGCTGCCATGGCGACCGGGGCTGTCAGTCAGCACGAGCTCTCAGCTGATCAATGGGAGTGAGCGCTGAGAGATCCGAGTTAAATTCGTCACCTAGGTCTTTTGCTGCTCCGGGGCCCGCACACCTGCACTAATTTGCATTTCTAAAAGTTATTTATTTGGAAAAGGGTCATTTTTTCCCCCTTGCACAGTTGCGGTAAGAATGGATGCGAGGCTCTGTCTAATCAAATTCAGCTGCTTGTGTAAAACTTTAATTTTCTGGAGACAAAAGTTTAGATTTTAGATTTTATTTCAATATTTATCCAACCATGTCATCCAAAATTTTCTGAGGTAAGCGTTGCACGCCTACGATCCGGCTGTAATTACAAACGGTGCCTAAATGAAAATATTACAGATGTTAAACTATAAGACCACGAAATTTTGTAACACTACACATATCTAAAACGCTTCGTCTGAACATTAACGGATTTTCGTTAATGCTTCTTTGAGAGGCAGGGGGATGTGGGGCAAGATGCAGGTCCTGAAATTCAATACCCAACAATTATCACCGTCTTTCAACTTGCGATCGCACTTAAATAGTTTGATTCTCTCTCCAAGGAGCTGATCTGGAACGACATTCTGCATCCACAAAGGATTTCGCTGTGTGTTTTTTTTCGGTCACAAACTATTAGCCAAAGTTGAAGAGATAAGGCCTAGAAAACAAAATAGGACTGTCAGTCAGTTGATATTCTCTCTGCAGGCCGGCGTCAGAATGTCTGCGCCGCCTACTTTAACTGTTGATCCAGCTCGCTGCAGCTGCGATCCTCAAACAATCATTCCCGCGGAACAATAATGGTGAGGGCTGACTCTTCCCATCAAAGTACTGGCTTAAAAAAACACTGATCTAACACTGAGCCCTGAAACCCTTTTCACAATCCGGTCACTGTTTGTCCATTGCCATCTGTGGGAAATTATCCCTATCGGGGTCGAAAATTCAGCCAAAGTTGTTCCCGCGATCGCAAGCAGCGGACCGTTTACTTGCTCTGTCACCCTCTGAAAAGCCTCTGCGTTCACAGAGCAGCAAACCGCGTACAGCTTACCGTGTGTGAGAGTGATTCTCATGCTCGGAAACGAAACCGTATTTAAATGATCGAAATCTAGGCACGCTTTTCTATTAAATTCCCAGCTGTAACTAACCGCACGAATGTTTCCCCATTTTTGCCTGGCTTTTAGAAGCAATGTATTAAGTTAAAAATGCATTTTAATCGATCCAAATTTGTCCAATAAATTTTCCATGCCGAAACGGAACCCGGGCGTTTCAGAGCCTTAGCTGAATGCCTTTTCAGTCGCCCCTTGCTTACTGTGTTAAGTATCCAGTCCAGGCTGCAGCGGTTCGAGGCGAAACGTACATAGGCTAGCGCTCCCCCATTTTGCACCCCGGAGCAGCACGAGAGGTTAGCACGCGCCTGTCGCGTGCGGCAGTGTACACAAAAGTGTGGCGCGCGACTCTTGTAGCAACATCGGCCCTGGGGGCGTGGCGTTCGTATTTAGCTATTGTCCAACCTGCCAGAAGTACATATCTCATTGAGTCATTTAGTAAAAATCACGCCTCTTATATAGATATGAGAACTTGCAACGCCTCGGCTCCGAAAGGGTGAAGGGAACACCTTTTTATATTACTGTATGAAACAATCAGAGTAAAAATTAGTATAGCTTTATAATTAGTATTTATGGCCATATCAGCAGAGTAAAAATGAAAAACGCATAGTTAAGTGTGAAGAAATTGCTCTCAATAGATATAAACAAAACGGTAGTGCGGCCTTTATTTAAAACGCATTTACAAACCTCATAAAAGCAGATTTATTAGTGCTTGTTAGGTTGTTAATTATTACAAATGAAGGAACTTGTGCTTATTATTTTCCCCTTGCTTTGATTATACACCAGCTACAGTTTATGAAGATGTACATGTGATCTTGTTCTCCATTCGAAAGCGGACACGGAGAGCGATGGCAGCAAGTGTTTATGATGTTTGTGTCAGCATCACTGTAATATTAAGGAAAAATTGCTATATTTACAGAAAATGCACCAGGAGGAACAGCAGCAATAATGCACATTCATTATTTCATCATCAATCAATCTTTTTGATTTTTTTAGGAATACCTTTAGGCTTCACCCTCAAGCTGACTTACAGTCTCAGTTATCCACATATTGCTTAATTGATGGACGCCCCCCATCTTTTAATAAAGGTTTTTTTAAACCGCTGCTTCCAGCCTATCTTGTGCTAATAGCTGTGACCAGTGGTTACAGTAGAAAATCTGCCCGCTGGTAGACCGCCCCCCTGCCATCCCACCCACCCGGTTTGGGGCGGATCGTTGAAAACGAGGGGGGGGGGGGATCGTCGGCGGATCGCACAGACGGTCCGGCAGGACCTCGCACCGGCGGCGGCGGCCAGATTGGACGCGGAACAAAGGGCGGTGACTCCCGGAGAGGAGACGGCCAAGCGGCCCACGCAAAGAGCGCCTCTCTTTCCGCGAGCGCTGCTGGCAGCCCCGCCGAGCCTCGGGAACAGCACACAGCTGTTGCTTTTGAGGGGGTGGGAGGACTCGTGCCATTCCCGCTCCTTCTCTCCCCCCCGCTCCTTTGGTGTAACAGCCGGCTCTTAGGGTGGGAGGTTAACCAGAAGCTGAGGAACTTTCCGTCCTCTGGCGATAAGAGCCGTAGGATGGAGTTTCGATGCAGTTTA